TCCTGCATCACAGAAACCATGAGGTGATAAGTGTTTCAGGTGCAAAGTGGTGGGATAATTTGTTATGAGACATGGATAACTAATACATATTTTTCTTTAAAGAATGGGCTCATAATATACATACTGTTCGGAGACCAACATTTTTACTTCATCAGTGTACCATCTTTCATGTCAAAACACCTATGTACATCACTTTAAATAGACATTCAGAACTTCAATGAATAAATGTATCACTATTTAAGCACTCTTGTAAGTCCTGAATTTTCTACTGCTACCAGCAAACTTGTGATGACCACTGTTTGAGGCTGTTGCTTTAGGACATGGGTTATTTTTTGGGGATACATTCTCAGAAGTGGAACTGCTGGGCCCAGGGATGTATCTGGGGTTATGAATTTCTAAATCTTGCCTCCAGAAAGCCTGTAAGACTCTTCCCTTAGGATTTCAGAGCACCTGTTTAGTAGGCGTACTTTAAAAACATTTACTGTTTTGCCCATCTGATAAAAATGGCCTGTGATTATTTGAATGTATGCTTCTTTGATTTTTAAATACACCAGTTGGAGTGGAGGCCCTGAGTGGGGAGGGTTCCTGGGTAGAAAGAGTTCTGCCTGCCCATTCTGCTAGGCAGCCCAGCACCCCACCTCACAGCCATGGGGACTCCCACTCTCTTTGCTTCTAGGCCATATTCCCCCACCGCCCCCCAGCAGGGCGGTGCAGTAGCAGTCAGGGGTTTCCTATCTGAGGCCAGGCTGAATCCTTGGCTTGCTCCTGCTGATAAAGGTGCAGGCATTCTTACATCCCTGGCCTGTTGGCAGGCTGAGGTCCCTCTGTATCTCTCCACAGCTGGCTGGGGATTGCCCATCTGGATGCCTGCTCTCAAGACTGGAGGAAAAACCAGGCCTCTACTTCCTGACCTCCTGTCCATCCTGCTAAGGTGCAGAGGAACAGAAAAGAAAGTGTGTAAGCGATTAATGCCATGGGAAACACTGGGGCAGCTGCATGTTCTGATGAAAACTTTTCAAGCCCTGTTCACAGGCAGATGACACAGTGGTCTCAGGAGGCTTCTTGGCCTTCTGACTCAGTTCCTGATCATTGGCTTCCTCCACTCTGGGGAGAAGGAGAGGGACGGAAGAGAGGAGGGGGATGGAGAGGGGGGTGAAGGAAGAGAATGGAGTGGGGAAGAGGGGAGGCAGGAGAAGGAAAGAACAAAAGTACAGAAACAAAGGGAAACGGTAAAGCAGAAGAGAAAAAGAGCACTGCAACAGGCAGGCTTTTGAAACATACACTGGGTTTGTTTGACAGCAACAATTCCCAACACACAACTCAACACCAGTGCTGCATTGAGGAATTTCGAGTTCACATCGCACTTACAGAAGGCCTGGTGTGGTGGCATGGGACTGTAATCCCACCACTGGGGACGCTGAGGCAAAAGGATCCTCTTAAATTCAACGTTAGCCTGAACTACATAGTGAGAAAGAAAGAAAGAAAAAAAAAAAAAGAAAGAAAAAAGAAAAAGAAACCTCAGTGTGTGGTCCTAAATCACACTTTGTTTCCTCTCCTAACTTGCACAGTCTTTTGTGTTGTGTGTGATCTTGCTATGTAGTCTTGACTGGCCTTGAACTCAATCACCATGTGGTCCAGTCTGGTCTGTAACTCACAGTGACCCCCCTGCCTCACCTCTTTAGTACTAGAATGATTCCATAGCCTGCTTTTGAAAAGTCCCTTCAATTTCCAGGTGGCTTCAGTTCTTCCTTGTTGCTGAGGTCCCACCGAGCCCTTCACACCTGGCGCTGCCCCTTCCCAGTTGCCCACTCCAGAAGGCACCATCTAGAAGCTGGTGCAGTGCTCTGGCTGGGGCAGTGTGGTTCTCTAACCCTTCCAGTTCCCTGAGCCCACATAATCCCTCGTGGCCCTTCTTGCTCAGCAGTAGTTCCCTAATTTCTTTTCTTCAGGGATCAGACTGATGGCCAGTGTTGGGTACCGTGGGAATATTCATGGCTCCCATCTCTTCCTCCTCCTCCTAGGTGGTAGGATTCTGCCCTCTTGCCTGTTTTGCATGCTTACATGTTTCAGTTTACCCAAGTGACTAGGGGGGCACTCAGTCCTCTCTTGCACTTGCAGGGCACTGGACCACAGAGAAAACTGCAGCCTGGGATGAATGATTTGCTCTAGGTCATAGGGCTACCAGGGCCTGCAATGGGACAGCACTTTTGTCTTCAGACTCCATTCAAATCTCTAACCCCTTGCTCAGGACTGAATTATGGTTTTCCCGAGGTTGAGACACCAGCTGCCTTTGTGGGTCTCCTTTCTTGCAGCAAAATGTTAAATATTTAATTTTGTGACTGCATTGCTACTAAGTCAAATAATGCAGGGTGCATTCATTGGTCTATCGTCGCTGCTATTATATTGTTTTTTCCTGCTGATTTGGAAAGATATCAAAGTGCAGACATCTTTCTGGCCCCTAAAAGTCTCATGGGCCCCAGACACAGGGCCCTGCTGCACTGAAAGAAATAGGGCCCTGCCCTGCAGCCCACATCAAACACGTAGGCAGCGCTACCTGTTTGTCTAAGTGTTTCCCAGAACTAGATGAAGAATAGATTATTAGGAAGAAAAAAGATGGAGCTGATGAATAATGTAAAACACCTGCCAGCCTTTTGCCCTCCAGCTGGGAACACACAAAAACTACCCTTGGTCTCGGAAGGCCACAGGAAGTTGGAGTTCAGGTTTCCCTGGGGTGTCTGATGCCTCCAAGTCGCAGCCCCCCTCTGCTTGGTCCCCAAATCCTCTCTCACCCTGATGAAACCAGCCCAGGGAGATTTCCAGTTCACAAACATGTGTCTGGTGTGCTAGCAGAGAGTCCTCTCTTTCCTCGAGAGGACACATGAGACTTCTTGGGAAGATCAAGAAGATGAATCCTGGCTGGGCACAGCTCCTGGGTCCCAAAATGATGCTGGGAGGCTGCTTTCAATGAAGAGGGGACGTAACTCTTGGTGGGGGTCTTTGAAGATCCCAGGTAACAGCTCCTGTAATTCCACTGTAGGTCATCTCTTTACCTGCAGGGAAGGAGCAGCCAGAGCACAGATGGTGAATGTAGTTTCACATGTGACCAGGCAGGGCCCTGTGTCTTGGAGCAGAGAGCATGGCTCTGTCATGCACGCCATCTGCCAAGGAGTCCTTCTGCCTTCATAGGCCCCTTCAGCTATAACAAAATATTAAAGCTTATATTTTACAATTGCACTGGTAGAAAGACAAACTGTCTAAGCAGGCCTTGCAGTCCTTCCTGACCCCAACAGTGTGCTCTTCTTCCTGTGATCCCACCCTAGCTGGGAGCTGAGTACCCGGCTGTTCTGGTAACTTTTGGGCAATGTATTGCTAAGAAACCCAAATAGCACTATGTTTTTAATACTTAAAATCATAATGGCTATACATAAGTGTTTGTGCATATACAACAGTCTCTGTTTTACCAAGGTAGACAGTGAGGCTTGAAGAGTTTAAATATTTAAACCAAACCATAACCGCTAACAAATGGTAGAGCTGAGATTTGAATCTAGATAGACTAACCCAAACCGAGAAAACAGCTCAAAGGAGATGTGAATTCTAGCAGGAATGAAACCCTTAATGATGGCGCATCGACTCTGAAACTGCGGGCAAAGGGGGCTGGGGAAATCAGTGTAGCACACTCCCAGAGCTCTGTTCCATTGGCTCACCTGGGAGGCTGAGACGAACTGCTCTCCCATTAAAGCCTGGGCGATGCCTTGTGAAGACCTGACAGGAAAGGGAAGCATGTGGTTGTGGGTCGCCCACCTTCTGCAGCTGGTTTTCCTCACAGCAGATGCTGGCAGCTGCTGACCTGGGATGGGTGGGAGACCCTGGCAAAGCCTGAGCACAGGTGAGGTCTCCAGAATGACTTCTGTGTCAACCACTGCCTCCTTCCTCAATCATATGGATGGGAGCTGGAAGGAAGCTGTCCCTTCTACATTCCCACTGGGCACCTCCCTGGAGGAAGCCTTTAATTTAAACCCGTAACTCACGTAACCAAGAGAGCTCAGAATGGAGTAAGGGCAGTGGAGGCAAAGAATCAGCCTAGCCTCCGTGTAGGAAGGATAGGGCCGCCCGATGGGGTGAATGAAGTCTGAGCCCACACTTTGTTTCTGCTACTCTTCTCTAGCTCAGCATCTCATCTGCGTCCACCCCTTTCTCTCCTGGTCCACATCTTGAGGATACTCCTACCTCCTTTCCACTACTGTGATCAGCGCCATCTCCTTTCTGTAGACTGGAAGTCGGGGTGGGCTGAGAGTGGCTGCTCACTCACGAGGCACCAATTGCCTGCCCAGGGCACAAAGACTTCCTTCTTCTCCAGTCCTATGAGTTAGTTGCTGTCTGAATAATACAGTGGAATGAAGCAAAGCTGAAGAGATGAAATAATTTGCCCAGGGCCACACAGCGAGGAAGACACAAGACCTCCCTTCCTCTATCCCTGTCCTGCACTTCCCCAGTCCCTCAAGCTGAGGAGAGGTTATAGCTGTGACCCCAGTGAGTACCCCTCCTGGGGAACTGCTCTGCCCTTTCCTGGGGTTACTTAGGAACTATCACCTGACAGACTTGGTAAACAGAGATAGGCCTCCCCCAAGATGGTGGTGCTCAAGAACTTGCCCACGTGTGTGCACGTGGGTGGATGTATGTGTTATGGAGAGAGGGATTCTTGCTTTGAGGATGAACCAGCCAGGCACAAGGACAAAGGGGAAGCTTGGGGACCCCAGCCACCCACAGGTATAGAGACACAAACCTGCAGCAGGAGGAAAACCCAGGTTCCTGGGAGGTGCCAGAGGAGTTGGGTAAGGACTACAGACCCAGGAAGGCAAAGGCCCAGCCCCCTTGCCAGCAGGAGCCAGCACATATTGCTGATCTGGGCTGTGGCTCCTGGTTGGCCCCTAATTAGATTCACACCTCAGCTGCTGGGAGTAAAATGAGTTCTAAACAATAGAGGAATCCAAGCAGCCTAATTGCTAAATTTGGAATTTTATTAGCTGAATTTTGCGACCACCTGTAGACCTGTTTCAGAGTCAAAACAAGTGGCACTGAACTGGAAAGTTACAAAGCTTTTAAAACAGAAAGTCACAAAAAAGACATTCTGTTGGAAACAATTTAGCCAGACTCTTACATTAATTTTTAGTTGACACCTATATCTTGTTTCTTTGTTGAGCAGATTAACTTTTCTCTTGTGGGCGCAGCTCATTCTGCTTGTCTCATGGGGCTTGTACCCTGAGTAATTTTTCACTCTTCTGGGTCAAATTCAGGGCACAAGATGGCGTTATGCTAAGCTACAACACTCCCCACTGGTTTTAGTACATGAATCAAGTCCTTGATTCCTGGTCATCTTTCTTATCTAAAAGTACATACAGTTGAATTACAATTGATTTGAAATGGGGAGTGCTTCAAAGGGAAACGTACAGATTGAATGCAAAGTCCAAAGCTCTGAACGTTTTCCAAAGTGAGGGACTTAGGTCACTGTCTCCACCAGCATGAAGAACCAGAATCAAGGTTTAAGGTGTCCACCATCTGGGTTCGATTATTGGTCCCAATAGTAACCCACATATAAACAGTCTTATGGCTCGCATCTTTGGAGTTTGACTCTCAAAGGGTCAGAAGACTTTCTGTAGTCCACTTAGCTGGAGTTTCCGGTCCTTCGGGCGTGAAGTGCGAGTGATGAATCCAGTGGCTCTTTGTGGTGACCTTGACAGCTGTAGCAGAGGGTCCTTTCTGTTGATGTAGATTTGATCACCAGGTTGGGCTACTAGAGAGTCACCAGGTCTTTCAGGAACAGTCTGGTGGCCCTGGAACAAGCGGTGGATAGAGTGCAAAAGGGGCTAGAGAGCCTGCAAAGATTTAACAAGTTTCCTGTTAGCGACAGCAGCCAGCTTATTACCTTGAATATGGGGGATTAAAGGAGGTGGTCGATCGTACAAGGCCTCAAAAGGAATAATGCTCTGAAGGTAGGGGGTACAGCATGCACGCAGAAGAGCAAAAGGAAAGAGACTTACCCAGTTTTCACCAGTCTCAAGAGCCAGTTTTGAAAGTTTCCTTTATGGTTCTGTTCATTCTATTTGGCCTGAACTTTGAGACCGGGAGGCACAATGTAATTTCCAATTGATTTCTAAAGCTGCAGCTAAATTTTGAGTAATCTGAGCTATAAAAGCTGGGCCAATGTTGGACCAAGGAGGTGGACAAACCAAATCAAGGCATTATCTCATAGAGGAGCTTCTTAGCTACTGAGAGAGCTGATTCAGTCCTAGTGGTGAATCCTTCAGTCCATCCGGTGAACGTGTCTACGAGAACTAAGTGATATTTATGGCTCCCTCCTTCCTGGGCCCATAAAAATCTATTTCTTAATTGTCTCCAGGGGTAAATCCTTGTCTTTTGAACATCAGTGGGGGCCAGCTTAGGGTTCATCTAAAGACATTGTGAGCATTTTTGGGTTGAACTCTTTAGTCAGTTAAGTTAACTTGGCCAATTTGGTTCCCCCTAAGTTGAGTGTGGCCCAATGGGTTTCCTGGATGACCTGAGGGCCCAATGATTCTAAGATGAGAATTTGCCCTTCCGGTAAAGTCTGCCACTCTTCTGGAGAAAGTTGGGCCTTGTTATGGATTAAGAACTGGTGGTCAATTTAATGCCAGCTGGATTACATCAGCATGGCACTGAGCACAGATGCTCCACTTGAGGAAAGTTGCCAGCATAAATAGACAGGTGGAGAAAGAGAATGGAGGTGTTAATGTGTTGCTGCGTTGGGGCACTGTGGGTTCTCCTACGAGTTGCTGTTTGAGCTATTAGATTCTCCTGGAGGAACTCTGGTCCTCACATTGAGCATTGCTTCCTGGCTCTGGAGGGGAAGATGTGTGCTGCTTGGTCTCCAGGATGAACTTGTCACACTGACTTCCCGGCACATACCTGACTGTGCTTGTCATCAGAGGAGCTCGGGGCCTCCGTGTCACTGAGGATGGCTGTGGTGCTTTTCAGGACAGCCCTGGTTTTTTTGTGTGACTTCTTAACTCCAGCGTAGAACCCTCAATCTACCAGTACAGCTCCTTCACCTGCACTGGCATGAACTTTCTGGCTTCCACTTCTGACCTTTGGGCCTTCCTGGCATGGATCCGTAAAAACAGACTGGCATGAATCCTTCTTGTGGGCTTTGGACCTCCAGGTGGACTCATGGGAGGTATTGTCATGAGCTCTGAGTTTTCATCTGGACTCATCTGAGACATTGCTGTGGGATTTAGGCCTTGACTAAATATTCTATGTTTTTGGTGTTGTGGATAGATTTCCTGCAATTTCTTGTGTTAACTCCTGGTGACCATTATAAAAATATTATAAAATTCATATCCTGATTCTAATTGTTCTCTGCACAACCCCTAACTAGGACAGGCCTCTAGGCTCTTGGTTGGTCTCAAGTCTGAATCTGAAAAGGATGGCTTGGGTAGCACAGGCGGTGGGAAAGCTGGAAGGAGCATTTCAGAGCCCACTGGTTTTAGTGCCACCTCTTTGGCTGTCTTATCAGCAAGGGCATTTCCACAACCTATTGGGGTGTCTTTTCATTGGTGCCCCAAACAGTTCATAATGGCAACCTTTCAAGGCAACCAAATGGCAAGCCACAAGGTCTAAGATCTCAGAGGGCATTCTTGACCTTCATCCCTGATGAGGTTAATAGTCTTCTTTCATTATAAATGGCCCCAGGAACATAGACGGTAGCAAAAGTATGCAGATTATCTGTATATATATTTATAATTTATTCTGTCCCCATCTTAGGGCTTGAGTGAGGGCTATCAGTTCTGCCTACTGAGCTGAAGTTCCCAACCGTAAAGTGTGGGCCCATATTACCTCAGTTCTGGTGGTCACCATAGCTTCTGCCACTCAAGTACCTTGGTGGAGGTAACTTCTACCATCTGTAAAAAGGATGGCTTCAGGCTGGACAAGTGGGACATCAGTCAGGTCAGCTCACAGGCTTGAGACTGAGTCAATAATGTCCATACAATTATGTATCAGCATTGAGGGATCATCATCTGGCAGGAGGGTCGCTGAATTGAGGGATGCAGTAGACAGGAACTTGATGTGGTCAGGATCTGGTAGAAGGGCTTGGTATTGGACAATGTGAGCACTAGAAAGCCATCTATTGGGAGGCGATGACAATAGTGTCTTCACAGTATGTGGGGCCGCTATCTTGAGTCTCTGGCCAAAAGTCAACTTAGAGGCTTTCTTGTTTGCAGTGGCTGAAATTGTCCATAGACAATCTGACCACCTTGCAGCCATGGGGTGACAGGCCTCTTCCAGTATCCTAGGCACTGGTTAAGACCCCTTCTGTGATCCCACGGCTCTTAGCTACATGTAATTACAAAGGTGCAGGGAGAGCTTGTTCCTCTAGCTCAGTCCAGGTTAATGTTCCAGACGGATCCCTTCCAGCAGAAGTGTAGAGTGATTGAGCCATGTCAGCAAAACCCAGGATCCACAGCTAGCAGTAGCCCAAAGCCCCTAGAAATTTTTTAACTTGGCACTTAAGTCTTCGGGGAAGGGATTTTTAAGATGTTCAAGTCTCATGGATCTTCTTTGTTGCTGAAGACCTTTTGGGCTACCTCCACTAACTCTGAGAGTGTCCTAATCTTTTTGTAATATCTGGGGCCGACTGGGAAACAGACATGATATTTAAGGCACGTCTGTCTTCCAATCCCTCCAGATCAACAGGCATATAAATACGATATGCCTCTAGGAGGCGCTGCAAGAATGTGGATGGAGCCTTGTCAGGTCCCTAATTTACCTCTAGGAGAGCTTAGACAGACTGGCTGGCTTCTGAGTGGCTGCCTTTTAAAACACTCAAGAGAGTCTGCCCATACTGTACAAAAGCCTCCTTACCTTGGATTTCAAGTAGGGGAAACACAAGGTCCAAATGGGTTGGGTCCCGCGAGTTTTCATCCCAGGGTGTGGATGTTTTCTTGTTCTCAGAGATGAAGAGAGTCCTGGAGAAGCTGTTGGTGGGCTCCTCAGGAGGAGGGAGTCAGGAAAGGAAAGGTCCGAGGGCAGAGCCCAGAAAAGGGGCATCTGCTATTGGTGTATAGGAGCTTCAGGGAGAGAATGGCCCCCATCAATCCCAGACTGGAATCCAGCCTGAGCCAAGGTCACCCTTAGCTTAGCATCTGCAATGGGAGCCAGGAGACATCTGGGCCTCAGCTTTTCATCAGGGATCCAGAGCCAAAGTGCATACTGCTGCCAGCCTCAATCAATTGCTCGATTGCTGCTGGGCCAGGAGTTGCCGGGCACAAAATGGTTAAGGTGCCACTGATTGAGCAAGGAGGAGGAAGCGGGAGCTGAGCAGTTCTCTGCAGTGGGAGCCCAGAGACAAGTGGACCTCAGGTTCAGGGTGCAGGGGTGTGTGGCAAATGTGGGGCCTGCAGGTGGGGGCAAGTACCCTCTCTCACCAAGGGACCCTGCTGGTTGGGGCACCTGTGGTAGTGGTAGCTGCTGCAGCAGCAGTGCTTTTTTTTTTTTTTTTTTTTTAAAGTTGAGATGGACCTGCTGACAGATTAGAGACCTGGAAAATGGTGGTAAACTGGTTTGCTGTAGACAGAGGCTCTCCAGTGAAATACCTGAAAACAGTTAACACATTGCAAGGGCATCAAAACAGCAGAAGCAGACTGACCCAATACACAAATAACAGAGGAATAACAGACTAAACTGGTCACAGACAAGATTAACAAGACAAAAACAGATACTAAGTCAGTTTGTAAACTGACACCAGGAACTAATTCAACCTGAAGGCTGACAGGTCACAGGCCAAGTATTGGTTTGGGAACAAGTCCCAGAGACTTCTACGTTGTATCCAATGTCTCCAAAGACTCCCAAGGGGGCCCCAACAAACTGGTAAAACAGTCTTACCAGTAAGGGTCTAGATGGCTTACTTGGAATTAGCGTCCAGGGTTTCGGTTTCGGTTTCTCTCTGAAACAAAGAGATTCCTTGGACATGAGGAATATCTCTTAGCAGTCCTACTAAGGAATAATTTACATCAAAGAAAGGCTTGGATCCTATAAATCCCTAAATAGAGCTCCATCCTGGATGGAATCCCAAATGAAGTAGGTTTGTTAACAAGCTGCCTAACTGCTAAATTTGGAATTTTATTAGCTGAGCTCAGCGACCACCCATAGAACCCTGTTTTAGAGTCAAAACAAGTGGCCCTGACCTGGAAAGTTACAGAGTTTTTAAAAGAGAAAACCACAAAAAACCATCCTGTTGCAAACAATTTAGCTAGAATCTTACATTAATTTTTGGTTGACACCTGTATCTTGTTTCTTTGTTGAGCAGGTTAATTTTTCGCTTGTGGGTGCAGCTCATTCTGCTTTTTTCATGGGATTGTATCCTAAGTAATTTTTCACTCTTCTGGGTCAAATACAGAGCACAAGATGGTGTCAGTTACACCGAGCTACAACAGAAACAGCTTCACACTCTCCTTCCTAGTCTCCTTTCTTTGCAGTCCTCTTTTTCCTGCAGTCTTTACTGGTGACTTCAGAGTCCTCAAATGTTCTTGTGTTCTATCCCAAACCACTCAGGAAATCTCATGGTGGAAAGGAACTAATTACCAAGTAGGCAAGTAAAGACTTGAAATAGAGTGTACCATGCTATATGTAAACAAAGGCTTTTTACTGAGGAAGGCCTGATGAACTCTGTGGTAAATTCAGAGGCAACTAAGAGAAAGAATCATGGAAAAAACAGTATTTGTAGCTGGACATAGTGGCACATGCCTGTAATCCCAGCACTTAGAAGGCTGAGGCAGGAGGACTGTTGTGAGTTTAAGATCAGCCTGGGCTACAAAGTGAGTTTAAGGCAAGCTCCAACTGTATAGCGAGACCCTGTCTCAAAAAAAAAAAAAAAAAAAAAAAGAGAGAGAGAGAGAGAGAGAGAGAGAGAGAGAGAAAGAGATTATGCAGAATGATACAGAGAAAGAAAAGGGTCCATCTATGTAACTATTAACATATATTAGATGTATGAAGATTCTGTTCCTCTTTAATAAGTGTTGGTGTTGATGACGGGTTCATCATGATTCCTGCCTGGCAGAAGACAAGCCTCATGGACAGCAGAAGAAAGAGAATGTCCAAGGCCTATCCACATGTAGCAGTGTCCATCACAATCACCACCATCACCAATGTTCTGGCCTTCTACACAGGGATCATGAGCTCTTTCAAGGCCATACATACTTTTGTATCTACACAGGAACAACCCTGCTTTTTTGCTATTTTTATAGCATCACCTGGTTTGGAACAGTTATGGCCCTAGATGGTAAGAGAGAAGTAGTCTGCCTACAATGGTTGAGAAAGCCAGACAAAAATGGTTTTCATTTAAAAGGGCCTGCTGCCTGGCCTTTGGTTCTGTCCTAGATGAACAGAAAACTAATGTCCATCCAATCAATGTGTTCTTTAGAGACTATTTTGGTCCTTTTCTCACACGCACCAAGACCAAGTTTTTCATAGTGCTGACATACATTTTGTACATGATATGCAGTATATATGGGTGTTTATAAGTGCAGGAAGGCTTGGACCTTAAAATCTGGCCAGTGATGATTCCTACATCACACCATATTTTGATATAGAGGAAGATTATTTTTCAGATTATGGTCTCAGGGTTATGGTTGTTGTTACTGAAAATGTTAAATACTGGGATGAAGATGTAAGGCAAAAACTGGAAAAATGTACGATGGATTTTGAAGAAAATAAATATGTAGATAAAAATATTACAGAGTTTTGGTTACAAACATATGTGTAATATATGAAAAATAACAGTCCAGATCCTGATGATAGGAATTCTTTTATGGTCAATATTTCTGAGTTTTTAAACACCTTTCCAAATTTTACGTATGATATTAATATTTCATCACCAAATGAAATCATTTCTCCCCGGGCTTTCCTTCAGACTAAGGATGTTGCGTACCCAGTCAGAAAGAAGTTAATGTTACAGCAGTTACAAGATGTAGCCAAACAATGTGAGGTCCCGTGGTTGTGTATAACCATGGCCTCATATATTCTGACCAGTATGGGGCAGTACTGGAAAACACTTTTTGCAATGTCATAGCTGTCATCGGAGCTATGTTCCTGGTCTCCTTGGTGCTAACCCCTCACCCACTTGTGTGCCTTGTGGGTGACACTTGCAGTCGGTTCTGTAATTGTGGGAGTGACAGGTTTCATGGCATTTGGAAGGTCAATTTCAATTCCCTATCCATGATTAACCTTGTAATTTGTATAGGGTTTTCTTTTGATTTTTCCACACACATTTCCTATGCTTTTGTTTCCGGTTCTGAGCCCTCGGCAAATGGAAAGGCAATGGAGGCCTTGCACCTGTTGGGCTTCCTGGTGTTACAGAGTGCAACCTCAACAACAGTAGGGGGTCTACATTTTAGCTACTGTCTAAGCACACAGCTTCAGGATGTTTTTTAAGGTTATGTTTCTTGTCACGGCATTTGGGGCTGCCAATGGCCTCATTTTTATTCCAGTATTCTTAACCCTTATCTAAAGGTCTATTTGAGAAGTCACTAAAAAACGGCCAGTTGTAGAATTCTGACTGATCCAATCCAATCTGATTTTTTAAATGCATGATTAAGAAAAGTTGATAAACTTTAAATGAAGGTAGGCTACTTGACTTGGAAATTCAATTTTAAATCATTATCTAACATATCCTGAGCAAAATTAGTTTTACATGAAAGTGCTGAGTGAGAAAGTATTGTCATCCTAATGACAGTTGCTACAGTCAAGTATAAGGTATATAACTTTCCAGCTATATTTTTCCTTTTATTTCATCAATAAAACTGGAATTATTACTGGAATTGAAGTATTTTATTTCTTATTCACACTATAAATGGAATATTATTTCATTGCTTTCCTATCTGAAAATGTAACATTATGTATACTTAGTTTAGGGGGGTCTTGTGTACATTCTCAATGGTATATTTTAATAAAGAAAAGTTGTTTTTCCTTCACATCTTTTTTATCAGTCCATATTGACTCTACAGGTTAGTGGGTTTCATTTTGGCTGATCCATACACACACATAACATACCTAATTTTCACCCCCTCATAATGCCTCTTCCCCCCCCCCCAGTTTCACTTTGAGTGCATGTTTTGATCATTTCCAGCCCCCATTACCTACTTTATTATATTCCTTCTGCTTTATTCTCTTTCTCTTTTCTAATAGTCTCCCTTCTACTTCTTGTCATCTTGTTTCGATTACACACATATTAGGGAAAACACGTAAGCCCTCCAGTCTGGCTTCTTTTATCTGGGGTCTTCAGATCAGTCAGTTTTCCTGCAAATGACAAAATTTTGTGTTTCTTTATGAACAAATATTACTCCATTTTATATTTATATACAGTGATACCTCAATTGTCAAAGAGCTCCATGCTAGAACTTTCCACTATTCAAACTGCAAATTTCAGGAAAAAAATAATCTGTTTTGTGTTTGTAACTTTGCTCAATAATGGAACCAAAAATCCAGCTTGACAAAAGCCGAAAGTGAGTCATGCAGTGAGACACAGAGGGGTGACACTTCAGTCTAAGTGCTGCTCTCACTCAGATAATATATAGTGCTTGTGTGAATGTGTTAAAAGACTCATCATATTTTATTTGCATAAAATGGTGTAACCATAGCTCCAAAAAAGGTGATGTCAGCAGTAAAGCTAAGAGGAAAACTGAGAACCACAACAGCATTAAAGAAATCATTGTAAAATTTGTTAAAGTACTGGAAAAATGAAATTATAAGTCATTTGGAGGATTTAAAAACAATTATTTGGTTTCCCATTAGTTCCATTAGTTCTCCAACTTTTTGGTGTTTAAACACAACTTTGGAATGAACTGAGTTCAACAGCTA